CGTCGACAGACTGAATATTTATTGAACAAAGCTGCAGTTATATTATTAATAATGAACTTGTAATGTTTAATGAACAAACCTGCTCTGTGTAACCGAAGCTGAGGGTTGAAAACAGCGTCCAGTAGTTTCCGTTGTCGCTCGTTCTCCTCTTTTGATCGACAAAGTTCCTCCTCGTACTCTGCTATCGTTCTTTCAAACAGCCCAAATATCTCTTCAGCAGCCGCAGTTAGTCGCTGCTTCACCAACGATCTCAGCATTTGGACTTTAGACATGTTTAAAAACACAACAAACACACTCTGCTAACACTTGTTTCTGCGAGACGCCATCTTGTTCACACAATGTGACGTTAGCCACACTAAAGAATACAGCTTCCGGGGCAAATCGGTTGCTGAGCTTCAAAATAAAAGTCCGGAAGTGTTACTGAATTTGCAAATAAGGCGCAAAAAGTAGTGTCATCAATATCTCTGGTGCCCAAAATAAAATAAAAAAAATCTACAGTCATGAACAGCAGAGGATGACATGTTATAACTTCTAACGTTCTATCTGGTACCATCAGTCACTAAAAGCTGTCTCTTATCCAGTGACACACAGATGTCAGCATTTAGCTTTTTGATCAATAGATATGTCCAAAAAAAAAAAAAAACAAAACTGGTTGAGATCAGCGCTGTACAACAGAGCCTCGTGACTTGACTGACTGGTGGTACACAATGTATATCTCCATTTTTTTTCTATTAATGGGCGACATGTTTCCAGCAGCAAGTCAAAGCCACATTTGAGATGCCACAAGCAGTTTTAAAAAAACAGACTGTGATCAAAATAAAAGGCAGAGACAGGGAATTTTTTTTAAAATCTGCTTTGAAATATACAGTTGCACAACATGTAAATGAAAAACTATGTAAAATAAACAGCAGGGCTGTACATGAATGTTTTTGCACACAGCACTGGAGCTACAGCGGTTTAAAGGGTGGCAGTACAGGACACTAAACTATAACATGAGTATAAAAGTATCAAGTAGATCTCAATCCACTGTAGTTTGGAACAATTAAAGTCTTTGTGGGAGGAGCTGAAAAGTCATTTTCTATCTGAAAATTCTATTCTATCCTGTGTGGGTTTTCATATGTGTCTTTAAAATTCCACCCTGTGTAAAAGATTTCATACAAACACTGCAGCGAAAAGGTTTCTCTCCAGTGTGAGTTCTCATGTGTGCTTTCAAGGTCCCTTTCTGTAGAAAAGATTTCATACAAACAGTGCACCTGTGAGGTTTCTCTCCAGTGTGAGTTCTCATGTGTGCTTTCAAGGTCCCACTCTGTGTAAAAGATTTCATACAAACACTGCAGCAAAAACGTTTCTCTCCAGTATGAGTTCTTATGTGTTCCTCCAAGGTCCCTTTCTGTAGAAAAGATTTCATACAAACAGTGCACCTGTAAGGTTTCTCTCCAGTGTGAGTTTTCATGTGTGCTTTCAAATTCCCTTTCAGTATAAAAGATTTTTGACAAACTGAACAGCTGAAGCTTTCTCCAGAATGCAATTTCATGTGAATGCGTAAACGTCCACTGCACATAAATGATTTTCTACAAACTGAACAGCTGAAAGGTTTCTCTCCTGTATGGCTTCTCATGTGTACCTTCAATTTTCCTTTGTTGTCAAATCCTTTCCCACACTCAGAGCAGCTCACTGGTTTTATTCCTGTATGCAATGTCATGTGCATCCTCATTGTTCCCCGATTACCAAATCTTTTCCCACAGTCAGTGCAACTGTATGGTTTTTCTCCTGTGTGGGTGTTCATGTGTTCCTTCAGAGCTGACTTGCATCTAAATGCTTTTTCACACTCAGAGCAGCTAAATGGTTTCTCTCCTGTATGAGTTTTCATGTGTTCCTTCAGCTGTCCAGTTCGACCAAATCTTTTCCCACACTCAGAGCAGCTAAATGGTTTTTTACCACCAATCAAGTCACTGACAGGGACTTGATCAGTTTTAAGAGAGTTTAAACCTGACTGAGGTTCTCTGGTCTCTTTGCATTCATCGCTGGCATCAGTCTCAGGTTCAGAAGATTTTCCAGTCTTGTCATCAGACTCAAGTTGTAGATGTGTATCTGGTTCTGGTCCTCCACAGTCCTCTACTTCAACTTCTATTTCCATCTGTTCAGTGTGCCTTTGATGAAGCTGTGAGGACTGAGGTTTCTCTTCATCATCTTCACTCTTCACAGGGACAGGAGTGAAAAGGAAGTTGATGATATCAGCCTCCTCCAGCCCTTGAAGCTGCTCTCCCTCCTGACTGATCCAGAGTTCCTCCTGGTCCTCTTTAATGTGTGGAGGCTCTGGGTCCTCCTGGTCCTCTTTAATGTGTGGAGGCTCTGGGTCCTCCTGGTCC